CCACACTAAATGTGTTATGATTTGTCCAGAACTGGAATAATAGTGTTCCTTGCTGAAAACAAATACAGATTCATATCTTGTTCATATATGTAAGATGAATTATAGGTGCATTACTCACACATCTTTTTAATTTGGATTTTAAAGGTAACATCTAGTGCACATTTAAAATATGTCAGTGCTAATTCACCAGGAGAAATCCTTACCCCATTTTATTCTGTGAGGCTGAAATTTATTGTCATTATTTTCCCTTACACTAAGTGTAAGTTTTTATTCTCTACAAAACACATGGTGTTTGACACTTCATTTGAGGTGTTGCACCACTTTGTCACCTAGTTTTATGGATAATGAAGCTTAGAGCCCTGTTTATGGCAGGCACCCCAGACACCTCCCAGGGCCGTGGTCTGTGCCCTGATTGCAAACAGAGCAGACAGAACCAGTGCAGAGGGAAGCAGCTTGTCTGGGATCACAGAGGAGATCAAGAAGGGAGCTGGGAACAGGAGACAGTCATCCTGCCATGCCAGGCCAGGCTGTGACACTTCTTGTGATGTTTAAATTTGAGACTTGACAAAGAATTGAAGAGCACTCTATTAGGAACAAAACTTTGCTGGCAAAACAGTAAAATCAGGTGGTCTCTGAGAGTGGCAGCTAAGCAACAATGTTATGATAGTAAATAATTATCAAAGTGAAAAAAAAAATCAGTTAAAATTAATATTGTTTTAACTGTTTAAATGCTGACCTTACAGCAGTGACTGTGCCAGTTCAGAGTCTGAAGGTATAATTTTCAGAGTTATCTGCAGAGTTGTGTGGCTGCCAGCTGATGATTATTTTTTCTTGCAAACCATTTTGTGTGCATATATGAAAATATTGTTTGAGAAAATTTGGAGCAGCATTTTACCAATTTCTATGTGTAACACAGGAAACATGTCAAAGCACAAAAATAGCTGCCACCAGAGCACTGCACTCATCCCTCCCTGTTTGGCTTGGGCTTGTGTAGGAAGTTAAGCTACAATAACAACAGGCTCCACCTGTGGTTATCACTGCAGCTCATTTTTACCTGCAGGGAGACTGGTGAACTTGGAAGAGCAGCATTTTTTTGTGCTCTTTGTCTTGACCTGAATGAGTCTGTACAACTAATAAGTGAATTACCACAGCTTCAGAGAGAGAATTTTACTTACCCTGAAATAACACCATTTTTGAGAAAGGTATTTAAATATATATTTTTCCTGAAGCAGTGAATAAATTGAGAGAATCAGTATTTTGCTTTATCAGGTTATAACTGGATAGAAAAAGGAGGACTTTGGTAAACTTGGGATTCTAGAATCTGAATGTGAGTTACAAGAGAAACAAGTGGATATGAGGCAATCCTGGAGATGCAGATACTGGGGAAAAGACGTAGCAAAGGCCATAGACTTTTGGGAACAGAAATCACATACCTGTTATGTTTGACCTTGTATATTAAGCTGTGGAGGTGAAGGCAAGAGCTAGGCTTCTGAATTTAAATAGACCCAATTTCCCCAGGATGAGGGAATTGATGGGCATATATAATTGGGTGATGCTACTGCAGGGTCACAATGGAGGCAGGGAGGTCAGCCTGAAGGTAAGACTGCAGCTGCTAATGGCTCAGCAGAACATGTTCTTTCTGGAAATAAATATTTAGAGGGGCGGGAATGACTCTGTCTAATAAAGAAATTATGCATGCAAGCTATGAAAGAAAGCAAGACTTATAAAGACTTTGGGATGGTTACATGGAGATTGGTCAGAGACACAAAAGTGACCTAAAAGAGGGATGAAAAGAGAAAATTTTACATACAGTTTATAAAATCAGTTTAAAAAATAATTATTTTACTCTGGAAAAACTGATCAGAAGAGGTGGTATGTAGATTGGTTACTGCATATTTAAACACAGATTGAAATGTGTCTGTTACAACTATACTTGCTAAGGAGTCTTCGAAACAAAGGGACAGAGAAATCCTGATTTTTTTTTTTTTTTTTTCTCCTCATTTATTTGGAGTAGACTGCAAGGATCCTGGGAAAATGATTGCACATTCGCATCGTGCCATCATCCAAGTACATGGAAAATGTTTTGATAGGATGCTGAAGATTTGCCACCAAACTACAAACTTTATATCACATCTCCAGCAACCTTCAGCACTAACAAGGTACAGTTAAACTTTGGGGTTTCTCTGAAGTATCTTGTCTCCTTCCCTCTTTTGCTTTGTTTATTTTTTTTTAATTTTATTTTATTTCCTTGTGCTTTCTCCTTGATTCTGGTGTTTGCTGCAATGTGGTCATTGGGGGTGCTTCAGTTTTAGATTTGATCAACAAGCTTGTGACAATGTCTTCTCCAAAGGACGGTGTGTCCTCCATGAATATTGCAGTGTTTTGTTGTTTTATTGTACCAAACATTATCTGGGGGTTGTGGGGTGTATTTCAATAGAGCCTTAGCTGAGATTTTCGTGGTCACCAGAACTTGTGGGTTCTTCATGAAATATTTCATGAGGTGGTTTGTGTTTTATTCTTGAAAGGACCTCTGGAAGTCCAGTTCCCTCCTCTAATCAAGGATGGGTTACTCCAGATTGCTCAGGGTCTTCTCGAATACAGTTCCCAACATCCCCAAATATGGAGACTCCAGTTTGGGCAGCTCATTTCAGAGTTTCACTAAACTTAAAGAGGTTTGTTTTTCTTTTCTTTACAATTTCTTTTCTTTTCTTTTTTTTTTTTTTTTTTGAGGAGGAGGAGGAGGTGGTTGTGATTTATTCACCCAGTCTTTAGCTGGATTTACCATCCTGTCCATTTTTTCTTGTCCTATCTTTATGCACCCTTAAGAAATATCTGATAGTAAATCCTGCTAGTAACCAAACATGATGTTTGTATTTCTGAACATTTTTACAGAGAGGAAATGGAGTCCTCCTTGAGGTCACCTGCAGTTTTAAGTGTGGAAACACCTAGAAATCTGGTCATGACCAGGCAGTTGTGGCAGTAACAACTTCTCCCTGGTTTATCTCTGTTTCACAGTATTAGGTATCACAGTTAAATTGTGTTATACCTCAAGAACTTAGGTTAGAGAAATGCCCCAGAAATGCCAAAACAAAGCAAGGGTAAAATATGTGTGGAAACTTGGCCTTTCAAATGCATTTTTACTTCCCCCAATGGTGGCAGCTGAATTATCAGGATTTTATTCTACTTCAAGTCTCTCTTAGGCTTGTCAAATACTCCAATATTTTCCAAATTTCAAGCATTTCAATTTTAAATCCATCAAAGTCCTTTTGAGTAAGAGATCCAGTAGACAATATCCAATATCCAGTAGACATTGGTACATAATTGCAGCGTTCTCTTAAGAGTAAGTTGTTAATTAGGCTAACATAATATTCATAACTGCATAATTTAGACCTGCTAAGCTCTAAATGCAGAGATTTTTTGTTTCTTAAAATCACATTGTAGCTTGTAATTAGTGTCTGGAAGCAACTGAAGGATTTTCTGTTTTTCTCACACTAAAATAAATTATTCCTTCCAGTCTACTTATTTTTATGCGAAGCTTGATAAAAATGTGGCATTTGCAGGCAGATTCTGGGGAAGACATGGGAAATGAGATATACATTTGGAAAAATCTCAAGAAATATTGCAGGTGAACAATTATACACAGGGAGCTGCTGGAAGGATCTTAAGGCAGAGAAATGGCATCTATGTGGGAAATTGTAAATATCTGGATGCACTCACTGTGGAATTGATTGAAAGATAAGAAATTAAGGCAATCACTCTGTGCTCCTGATGGCAGCCAGCATCAGTACCCTCCTTTCTCAAGTTGCTGAAGCAACAGTGCTATTAGCAAAGCTTTTTTTATTCATTTATTTTCACCATCATTTATTTGACCTGTTCTGGTTTTATTCTTAAGAGGAAACAAAGGAGATGGAACGTCAAAGACTTGCTGTGGTAAGTAAGGGATGAGGCTGGGAAAAAAAATAAAGAAATCAGGCAAGAGAGAGTCAGGTTTCTCCACTGCTGGTGTGTTTTCCTATCTGCTTTCCCCTCACTTTGCACAGCAGCACAAGGGAATGCTGTTATGTTGACTCTGGTTTGTAGTATTCATGTTCAGCTTCAAGTCTTCAGTGAGGTTCAGCTATTCTCTTAGTGCTCTGTAAGCAGAATCTTGAAACTGAGTTTCTCGAGTTTGTTCAGTGTGTTGCAACTGGCTGAAATATCCAAACATATCCACTTCAACTAGATTTATTTTCTTGTTGGTTAAAGCTGTATGAATCACAAGACAAGTGTACCCAGATAGATTCAATGCTTTTTGAACCAGTACGAAACCAGAAGATTTGGAGTCAACACTTTGTTCTTTAGCCCTCTTGCAGCCATCCCAAATTACCTGTCTGACAACAAATTTTGTCCTCAAGTTTGCTGTGGGGGTGACTCCTTCACTAGTGCCTGTGACAGGAATCTTCCAGCTTGGAAAAGATTGTGTTTTGCCTTCAGGAGAAGGGAACCTCCAGGTCTAAGACTGCAGACATGCTCGGGCTTTGGAAGGGACACTATTCCTCTCTCAAAGCCTTTCTTTGTGCTGTCCCATGTGAGGATTTATGTGGTCCCAAGCCCCTAATGGCAGCTGGGGTGGTCTCATCCCACTGAGCTGTTTTGTGACCTGCACCAGCTGAGGATGTCACCAAGTTCTTCCAAAGCCAACCACAAATCCTCCTTGTTAACACAGCAGCAAATGCACCCATTGTGCTTAAATCTCCTCTTTCTCAAGTAAACATATGCTGAGGTTTGTTCTTCATCACTTTGAAATAAGGTTTTCCCAACTTTGCTAATTAGCAGCGTTGCCCAAACAGAAAGAAACATATGGCTCGTGCCGTGCTGACTTGAAGCCTTTGGAGTTTCACTGGAGAATAATTAAAGTGATTTTGATTTACTGGTGTGATGAAGTACGAGCCACTCTCATTTGGCCTTATGTCTAGAAGCTCTGAGACAGTAAGGCACCTTAGCAGGAGAGCTATAATAATTAACACCAGCCAGATTGTTATTATTGAGATAGCTTTGTTGCCGTTAACAATCATTTGTAATTACCAAGAGGTTTTACATAATTCATGCTAAAATCTCACGTTTACCTGTCGCTGGGACCTTGTGGTTAGCTCAACTTAGTTAAGACTGAATGCTTGAGGTATTGCAAGGTTTCAATTCTACTTGAAATAATGTAGCTGGTTATAATGAAAAATCCTGTCAAATGAAATTATTTCCTTTTTTTGTTTAGTGATAACACCAAGGAACATGCTGTCCACTGAAGATTTTGGGAAATATATATTTATCTCCATGTTTCCTTTTTGAAAACAGATGTGCAGGAAAGTGCCTATTTCTTCACTGAAAAATTGAAAAATTTTAATACTAAAATTTTGACTAAGATATTCAAAACCAGGTCAACATCTTCCCTGGAAATCAAAAAATAAGAGATTCTGATATACATAAAAACTCAGCTTCTACCTAGGAACAAATTACGGCAGAATTTTTGCCAGCATGGATAATTCACTCTGTGCTCCTGTGCTCACCATGAACTGGAAATAAGTGAGCTTGTTTGCACATCATTGTAAATTTTACTCCTCAGATGGCTGCTTAACGGAAGGTGTGCCATCTCCTGCAGGTTACTTAATATGAACACAACTTCCTCTGAATATCTTGAAATTAAACTGTGTAATGTGGGTAGTGGATGTAATAAATAACACACTGCTTATAAATATGCACCTCTTAGAAAATGCAGAATAAATAACTGATGCCATAACCTTCCTTCAGAGGCAAAGGATGTGAAAACCATGAAATAGGATGAGCTTGACTGAGAGTCATGCCAATTAATTTTCAAAATAGGGTTCTCTGGACTCTGTTTATCATAAGCTTCTAGAGATGCTCCAAGGTGTCTGCATCTGAATCTGCACAAGTTGAAACTAAAGCCAAACCATGGTTTGGTTTGAATTCAGGATGAAATCTCAGGTGCTTGGCAGGCTCTGGTGAAGCTGAACAAGTGGAAGGATACCTGGGACCAGGTAAGTTCATGAACATCTGGTCAGGTACAGTCTGATGGGGACAGTTCCTCTTGAAGGCTTCGTCCTGACCTGGAACTGAAATTACTGTTTTAAAGTTTTGAAGTTAAAATTGTGTGACTTTTTCTCTCAGGAAGCACATCTGAATTGTGCCATCTGAGCTACAGAACTTGTTTGATGCTATAAATGGAACTTAAGGAGGCTTTTGAAAGTTTTTAAACAACTGAATCTTTAAACTTGATTTTTCTTAATTAATAGTAGGAGGTTTCTTTGCTTTAGATACTGAATCTTCTAAACTGGTGTAAAAATCTTACCTTATATGTGGAAAACTTATCTTAGTTCTGTAAATTACTGAATATTTCATGTGTCCCTTTCAGAAAACAGATGGAAATATGCACTTTGGGAATGTTCCTCTCTAATGTAGATGAGTGACTTCAGGTAAACTAGAATTGTCCTTTTTGGTTTTTTTTTTTGTTTTTTGTTTTTTTGGGGTTTTTTTTGGAGGTAGAGGAAATATATCTAAGGTTTTCTTGTTTTATCTTACCAGGGCCGAATTCTGTGTTGGAAAGAGCTCCTTCTGTTTTCTTGGCATAACCTGCTGTGCACAGATGTCACCTTCCTGCTTTTGACCAGACCACAGAAACCAGGAAAGCAATTTCTTCCCCATCCTTGCTGGCATCCCCAGGAGGCAAGTTACTTATGACTCTGATGTGAGACAGAAATGGAGCAGGATTTTGCTTTGTGTTTGAGGATGTCAAAGTTGATCTGTGCCTGAAGAATCAAGAAAACTTGCATTTTGTATGGGCAGTTGCCATGCAGCTCCCTGCTCTGGTGAAGAATACTATAAAAACTTTGGTGCCTAAGTAATTTATGATTAGTTGAAAACTGTTGTGTTTCATTGCTCACACATGTTCTACTCAAGAAGAAGCTGTAAAATGGATCTGGGGCCCATCCTAAGCGAGAATCTTTGTCTCTCTCTCTCTCAAAGAGTAAAGCTCTCTTTCAAAAATGTAACGCTGTGTGTGACGCAGGAGTTGCCATGGAAAAATACATTGAGCCAATCATTCATGATTTATTTATAGCAATTAGAATGCACATCCCAAGATCCAATAGTAACTTTGATTAAAAAAAAAAAAAATAGAAAAATCATCCAGGCAAAGGATAGAAGCATGTAAATTGTTGGGAATGCTTTTGAGTCTGTATGGTTAATATATTATTTAAAAAATTGACTATGTATGTTCCTGGACAGGGCTTTGAAGTATAAATGCTGCTGATATTTGCTTCTATATTTTTGCTGCTGATAATGTTATTGCTGTTGTCCTACACTTACCGTCTGTTCAGTGCCTATTTAATGGGTATAGTAAATAGCAGTTCAAAGTGAGATTTTTCTTCTAATCATCTCTTTTGGAAAACATTTGTGTAAAAGTGAATGCTTTGGAGAAATCTGTACACCAGTATCTTGCTGGAAACATGGTGCCCAAGATCCTTAGAGCTGGATACACTTGTCTGTGGTGTTTTAACTACTACAGGCAGTGAATGCCTCCCTCCTGATTGCTTCAAATTGCATTCAGTGAGAAACCTTTTAGTTATCTCTTTTGATGAACATTAACTGTATTTCATTGTTGACTTTTTTGTAGGCAACTGCTAAAGTATCAAAAATTGTGATCTCCTGCACATGGGGGAATCTCAGTATTGAAACCTGTGGATGCCCCAGACCTGGAAGTGTTCAAGGCCAGCTTGGATGAGGTCCTGAGCTGCTTGGTCTAGTGGAAGGAGTCCCTGGACCAGGGGTGATTTTTATGGTCCCTTTCAACCAAACCATTCTATGGTATTTGCTTTATTTTGGGGCAAATATAAAAATCAAACAGCCAAAACCACAAGTTTTCAAGTTTATTTCTGCTTCTGTAATGAGTGTGGACTCTTTAGTGTTTTCCTTTCTTATTTTTCTCCTCCAGGGACATGTCTTCTGGATACTTTGACTCTGTTAGCAGCTAAGGAACTTCTCTAGAGTTTATTGCCCTTGTCCTTCTATGATTATGTGGCTTGCTGAGTTTCATTTCAATTTGGCAGTTCATGGAAGTGTCAGCTCTCTTTGATGTATATCTCTCTCAGATGTTAAATCAATAGTGCTTTAAGCATACCTCTTGCTCTCCATGAGGGAAATGCTGGAGGAATTGTGATTTTTAAGCTTTCATATTTTGCACTGACAATGTGATGTTGAGGAAAAAAACCTACCTTAACAAAAATCTGAAAGCAATTATTGTGTAGCTGCTTTTAATTGGCCTGGAGTTAATATGAGGAGTAAAAAATCTGAGTTTTCAGTGCTGTAGAGCTGGGTAGGGAAGAGATTTTTCTGATCATACTTGTGCCTGTCTCATTCTTTGTCGGAACTCAAAATGTCCCTCAGACGTTTTTGGAGGTTCTGGGCCCAGGTCAGAAGCATTTGAGACCCTGGCAGGCAGCTGGAAACAGCTGTGGTTTTGGATTTGAACCATGGAATGATTTACCAACCTTGCAGGAAGAACAAGAAGTCACAAAAGTTTAGATATTATAGTAGAATTAGTCACAAAGTAGAGGGAAGAATTTTTTAGTGCTGTGCAGGGCGGTTTTAAGTCCTGTACAGGGGGGTTTTAGTTTTGTACATGGGGGGTCAGAGGTTTTAAGATGGAGGGATTTGGGCCTGTCCTGTCATCCCTCTTTCCCCTTCCTTACGTCCATGTTCTTGGTGATGTTGGCACTCACAGATTGGTTTAGAGTAGAAAGGCACCATTTAATGTAGGTAATAGGCATTGGGGAAAAACTGTAAACGTTTAGCACGTAATGTACCATATAAAAGACAGCAGCAGCCCTGGGCAGGGGGAGAAGAAGCAGTCGGGAGTCAGAGAGGATGTCAGGGTGTGTGTGTGCCTCTGCCTGAGCTGCTGAGCAAACCACAGCAGCCCGAGAAGAAAATCTTTTAGATAACTTGCAATAAACAACCATGAGATGGAACAACAAGAGACTGCTGAGCCTTTCTTTGGAAGCATGGGTTGGAGGAGAGACTTTTCCACCACACGGAGCCACCCTGCAACCTAGGGTGGTCTTCGACAATTCTGCACCAGCTCCATGAATCAGGGGACTCCTGATGGGAAAGGCTGCCAAACAGCTGCTGGAGCTCTTGGGCTTGTGCCCCTGGGCTTGCAATCAGTCAGGATGCCTGGGAGAGGCTCCTCACCAGGGAATGTGCCTTCATCTGCTCCCAGCTGGTCCTTCCCAGGCTGCAGCTCCCGCCTCCAGAAGGCTCCACTGCAACTGTGTGAGCGGTGAGGTGAGCTGGGGATGAGAAGGGTCAGAGGCTTGGGCAGGATGCCTGGGATTGTCAGGAAGCCCTTCCACAAGAGACAGAGGCTGTCACAGCTATGCTGGCCACACCAGCAGCGTGAGGCTTTGAGGATCTGCTCTGAGCTGCTGGTGGGGCCACACGATGTTGGGTGAGGATCTCATCCCTCAGCTGCCTCCACATCCTTCCTTGATTTGGCCACAGGTAAATAAACAGCTGCCCTTGAAGGGGTTTTGCTGTGTCACTGTGTGTGCCACAGACTGTACCTCATTGTGAGGGGGTTTCTGTGGTGTGAGCAATAGTTTTGTAGCCACAGAAAGATTTAAAATAATTGTGGGGTTCTTCTGGAAGTAGCAATAGAGAGCTGTGTCTGTTGAGAGAACCAAACATCAACAGTGCTGAAGCTGAGTAGAAGTTACACCCTATATCCTGTCTGCAAAACCAGACTCTGAAACTTCACAGAGAAGCAAGCTGACAACCAAGAGATTGTTTTCCTGCTTTGCCACTGGGAATTACACCTACAGCTGACTGGAAGCTTCCTTTGTCTGCAGGCTGAAAGTGTGGCAAGCACTCTCCCATCTTTATTAGTTCAGCTTTCACCTCCAGCAAGGCAGAGAAATGCCTGGGGTTGGGATGGCATTTTGAGCTGGGATTCATCAGCTTCAGCTGGTAGACATCTGCACTTCAAACAGACTTGTTGTTGAGTTTTCCTTCAAAGCTGATGGAGAGAACTAGATATATTTAAGTAGTGATTGATTTCATACCATGACAGCTATCCGAAATCAGTCCCATGTACTGAACCTTAGAAGTTTCTCTTCCTTCACTGGTGAGAGAGGAGTCTGGACAAACAACTTTTTCTTTGTTTACATTTTGCTTAGTTAAATCTAAACCTTGCAAGTTGTATTATTTATACAAGCAATACTTCAGTCAAAGCAGGCTAATATCTAACAGAGGATAAGCTATTCTCTGCTTGTTTCTTTTGTGACAAAATTTGCTGGCCACAGATTCTTGCCCTGAGTGAATTGCCCTTAACCTTTCCAGTGATACAGACACATGGACCTGTTAATATTTGCAAGGATCAACTGGATGGCTGCTCAACTGTATTTTCCTAGACAAAAGCTGACAGGTTTTTGTTTCATTTTTTGCCCTAGAGTGAACACTTTCCAAGGTGTAGCTGTCAGCTACTTGCTAAAGCTGAAGAAACAAGAAATGTGTTGACCCAGCCATAGCACTGGCCTCCCTTGCATGCCTGAAGGCTCTGTCTCCAAATCAGCTCTGAGACTATCTGCAATTCCCATTCCTCCCATTTTAGGTTTATTAGGTTTTTTTCCATGTGTCTTTCTAGTCATGCATTCGATGTTTATGTTTAAAACTTCTACAAAAAAAAAAACCTGGGCTGGGTGTGCCCTCCTGTGCTGTGGACAGCTGAGGCATGGGGACACTGCAGTGTCACTTTCTTGTCCCGGGGAGGGCACAGCACAGTGCTGCAGCCACCATCTCAGGGGTGGTGGTGCTTCTCTGCTGGTCATGGGCAGAGGAAGAAAAATGCAAACTTAAATTATGTTCTTACACTGGTGAACTCAAGAGAGCTCAGATGTTTATTCTGGTGTAAATGGCAGGTTAAATTGACCTGCAGCCACATGGAGCTGAGATGTGTGATGGACAGGGATTGTTCATTTCCTGGCTGGGCTGGAAAATGCTGCTCAGCACTAGGGGTGTGCCTACCCCAAATGATGCCCTAGTGTGCACTGAGTGATGCTGAAGAGACCTCCCTTCCCTATGTGACAGCAGACTTGTGCCCTCTGAATCTCCTCTTAACTCATTTGTTCCATCCCTGCAAGACTGTCCTTGAGGAGGTGAGACTGATGTAATTCTGTCTGTTCCAAATCAGTTTCTACTGATGGGACCTGGAACAGGAGAGGAGTTTCTGACAATGAAGCTAAATGTATGCTCAGTAGTGCCCCTCAGCATTTTTTCCCCACCCTGAATGTGTTCTTTGAAAATTACTGGGGTATGAATGGTGGAGGCATTTAACTTTATGTGGGAGGACTGTGCATGTGAAAAGCAAATGTTAATATTTCATGAAGGGTTCATTTCCTAATGGCAGGAGGGTTTCCAAACCTAAGGCTATCACAGGGGTGCCAGTGTTGATGAGAACTAGCAGATTTATGATCTTCCTTCCCTCACTGGCAAACGGGGCATCGTCACAAACAAAGGCAGAAGTCTTGCAAAAGCTGATGTGGGGGGCACACATAAAGCTATTGAGGAGCTGAGCTCATCCACCTTTGTGTCTGCTGGGAGGTCACCCCAGTGAGCTGTGGTGAGGCAGGGATGGACAGATGACAACCTCACATCCTCCATGGGCTGCAATGAACACGCTCCTGCAGCACCCACACCAACAGTTCATGTTCCAACAAACAGCCTGATTCTGTGATTCTGGGGTTCCCAGAGCAGTTAGGAGACAGGATAGGCCTGCTTTGATATGTTCTTGGAAGTATTACAGAGCCCAGAATTCGCCTCTCCTGGCAGCAATGCAGTGTCTGGCCACTACCACATTCCTGGGCAGCTGCCAGGAGCTCTGGCAGGGTTCAGCTGCCCATTGTGCATCGAGCAATTCATGCCCTGCTGTTGGGAAGTGCTGCTGGCTGTGTGCCTGCTGTCTGTCCTGGCTGTGCCAGTCTGCAGAGGTGGGCACATTTGCTTAGGTCATAATTCTTTGATACTGGATTTTTTTTTTTTTTTTTGTCAGTGCTGGAGGGACTCGTGACTTTTATTTATGGCACTGTAATCTTTGCCCAGTTACCAGTGTGCAGATTTGGAAACATGCTCTGTTGGACAATTGTCTTCTCAGTTGCTTCTCACTGCCTAAAGCCATCCCAAATCCTCCTCGGTGTCTGTTCTTAAACATTTCTCCATCAGCGAGTGCCTGCTTCCTCCTCTTCTCTTTCTTCAGCTGGAGGCATGGCATCATCTCATTCCTCCATCTTTCCAGATTGTAACAGGGCTTGGGTTGAAAGCAAATTTGGGGAAATTTTAGCTGAGTCTGGCCCAAGGGTTGAATTAAATTTGGACCACACAGTGCTGTGGAACCTAGAACAGCAGCAGTGAATGCTACTTGCCATGTGACCAGGAGAAGAAACTAAAAGGCTCCAGCAAAAGAGCTGTTGCCACAATGGGTGCATTCCTCAAAATCACTGAGAGCAGACCAGTGCCATGTTTGATGTTTTCTCAAATTGGCTACTTCTATTTTTAAACTGTACAAGCATTTCAGGAGGGTGTGAGCCAGTGAGGCTGTCTGTACAAATTAAGATATCAAACAGCTTAAGTATCTCTTCTAAGCTCACCTAGGTTTGAGTTAAAAGATAAAAAGCTGGAAATAAACCCAGAGGCTTATTTTGTTTATTCAACAGTAGCCCTTAGATCTTGATTTATGACTCAGATTTCTATTCCATTCCATGCAAATCCCCAAGGCTGGCAGGAGTGTTGATCTGCTGGAGGGTAGGAAGGTTCTACAAAGGGATGTGGACAGACTGGATCACTCCATTGAGTGAGGCC